GAGATGTGAGCATCTTTCGGAAGAAGGATTATAGATTTTAGGTATCAGCTAGATCCAGGGCTGGAATCTGATCTGTATTTCCTAGTAACCTGGGGCAGGTGGTCCTCAGCTGGACTTTAGGTGCCTTCCTTTTGAAGTGGGAGCTACCCTGTCTGTGCAGAAGAGTTCTGAGGATTGGCACAAGAGAGACTCAACAAGTAGAAGCCACTATTACTGTGCTCCAGCCTATTTGCTATGTCTTCAGACCCAGGGTCAAGCACATAGTTTGTCCTTAGCACAGGACCCACATTAAGCATAGTATGTTGCTGAGTGTTGTGAGAGATACTAGGAAACATACTGTATTAATTTCCTAGGGCTGCCTAGACAACACATTAACAAATCGGGAGAATATATTCCCTAAAAGTCCAAAACCAAGGTGTCAGCAAGACAGTGCCTTCTCTGAAGACTCTAGAGAACAATCCTCCTTTGCTTCTCCAGCTCTTGGTGCTTGTTGGCAACCACAGACATCCCTTGACTGGCAGCTGCATCACTCCAACTTCTGCCTCTGTGGTCATGTGGCTTCTCCCCTGTGTCTCTTCACAGGGGCCCTTCTCGTGTGTCTGTGCATTCCCTCTGCCACCAAATCTCTCTCTCCTTACAAAGACACCAGATATTGGATTTAGGACCCAGCCAGACCCAATATGACCTTATTTTGATGACATGTGCAAAGGCTCTATTTCCAAATTAGGTCACAGTCACATGTTCCAGTTGGAAATACATTTGGAGGGAATGCTGTTAAATCTAGAACAGATATCAGGAAATTTAGAGTCTAGGAGTAACATAAATTTCAAGAAACCAAGCCATAAACAACTAGAATGAAATAAATGCCATGTTAAGGCCATTGGACTCACCTAACTCAGTAAGGGTTTATTTTCATTAAAATATGAATTAAACCATAGTTGGATGACATTCAAATAACCATGATGTGCTTGTGTTGGCTGGGTTTTCATAAGATTATTTTGGGATGAGAACAAGGC